TTGGAGTTCCGTGACAGGAAGAAACTTTACAAAGGTTTCTAAACTTCTTAGAGTCTCTTCCCGCAAGGTGCTGTTTTCTCTGCACTTTTCAACATCCGACTTCATAAAAGCCAGGGTGCGAGTCGGCCCACACTTAATGTTTATTTTATTCCCTGCTATGCGGGCCAAGAAGCAAAGTCACTTTCTTCCCCAAATTCCCATCACTTCCCTGTTGGCGAGCACTCCCTCCTCCGGGTCCAGTGTCATCTCTCGCTGCTCTTTCTTCTGATTTCTAAGCGATGAAATTGTCAGCCAGGCGAGCCAAAAATGTGTCAGATGGTCTCCTTGTGCAGACGAACTTCCAGCAGATGGTCGAGACGGAACGTCCCGGATGCACTGGCGAGGGCCTCTCTGCCAGTGTTTTCAGACTCCAGGACAACCGTGGGCTGATGCTGAGGAGGGGGCAGCTCGGTCTGGGAGGGAAACGCTTGCGGAAGAGCCAGGACAATCACTTGCGGCCGCAGGGACCGTGTTTCCATGCAGGTTCCCATCACGCCCCCTGGTCAGCCACTGGCGACAAAAAGCTGAACCAGGCAGAGGGCTTCCCTCTAGGAGCTCCCGGCCTACCGGGCCCTCACCTCCCAATCCAGAGTCAGGGAGTCACCCGACCGTGCTCGAGTCAGCCGTGGCTCGAGGGCATCCCCCGCCCGGCACAGAACGCTGGCGGAGAGTCAGTTTGCTAAGATCATAAGGAAATGGAATTGAAATGCAGAACACGGGCACCTTGGAGAGAAACACGCCTGTTCCATTTGGGGGGGATGGCGGGCGTGGAGGAGCAGCTCGGGTGGAGAGCTGGTCTCTCCACCGCACAGAGCAGGGAAGGTGGAGGGAGGAAGACAGTGGGTCAGTCTGGCGCAAGTGTCACTTCATTAAAGGGAAATCAACAGCAACAATAATAGTAATCATGCAAAGTCTGCACTGGTTTTTAATGAAAAGAACGGTTTTTAAATTCACTGCCTGATTTTTTGATCTGGTTTTTCTTTTCATTAAAACAACACTTTATCTGAACATGCAAAACTCCATTCAAACCAGGGTTGGGGAGAAAGTCTAATCTCTCTCAATCTATTTTAAATCTTTTTTTCTCCCCCCCAAATGCCAGCAAAATTTTGTCAAGGTCTACGAAATCTCTCAGCACCTAGGACTTGCTACCCACAGTTTTCAAAGTGATCAGTTTCAAAAGTTTTTAATTAAATCTTTAAAAAGTTTTATAATAAACTGATATTATATAAATATTGTGTAATATTATTACAATGTATATTTTATAAATATAAAGTGATAAGAAAACAAGTCACAAGAAAACTTAGTCAAAAATTGTATTTAGAATTAAAGAGCATAACCATGAGCAGGGGTGGGGTACAAGGGTCTCGAGGTGGGGAATGTGCTCTAAGTCCCCACGGCAAGAGCGTGGACAGGTGGCAAATCTTCTAGTGAACAAGTCTGGGGCAAACGACAGTGGCCCCCGTCAGTCTTGGTCAGGGGTAGGGGTCAGGTCCCCACGCAGTCTGTCCCTGGCCTCTCACATGTGCTGGGGGACCTCACAACCCTTCCAAGGCGAGGGCGCAGCCAGCAGCCTCGGGGAAGCAGCCTGGGGTCTAATTAGGATCAGGGAGACTGCGGGGAGCGGGACCAAGGCTAAGAGACAGTCATCTTCAAAACTACAGGTCTGCACGCAGCACCCACAGACACAAGTGGAGCAGGAACCCCCCGCGCCCCAGGAAAGGGCTGCTGGCCACCTGTCATCACACACATCGCAGCTAAGCAGTGACGGCAAAATCACTGTCAGCGACATCATCCCCGAATGGACAGGACAGTGCTCTGTGCACAGACCTTCCTATTCAACGACTGGGAGGATGAATAGAAGAGAAAACTCATCTATTGACTCAGTGCAGCTAGAAGAATCCCTGGAGCTCAGCCCCCAACAGCCTGATCAAAGAGCAGTGAGAACTCAGGGGTCCTGGGTGAGTCACTTCACTCTTTGCCTTCAGTTCCCACATCTGGAAAAGGGGACTACTGTTCAGTGATCACAAAGGATAGGCCCAACCACAACTATTTTTTTAAAAATCGAATGAAGAGGTGAACGAGGAACAGAGGTCTTTCAACTCCACCCAGTCTGAACAGAGAAAGAATTCTTTCTTCACTGCAATAAAAATCTGACACTTGGCAGTCTGGGATTTGGTATACTTCTCACTGTAAGAAAAATGCCTAAAGCAAAAGATCTGGTCAACATACTGTGGTTAATTTTATGTGTCAACTTGGCTAGGCCACAGTATCTAGACATTTGGCCAAACATTCTAGATGTTTCTCTGAAGGTATGTGTTTAGATGAGATTAACATTTAATCAGCAGCCTTGAAGTAGACTAGCTTCCCTAGTGTGGGTGGCCTTCATCATCCAGGTAAAGACTTTACAGGCTTGGCCTTCCCAGAAAGGGAAATCCTGCCAGCCAGTTGCCTTTGGACTCAAACTGCAGCTCTTCCTGGGTCTCCAGGCCACCAGCTGACCCTGTGAGTTCTGGGCATGCCAACCTTCGTGATCATGAGCCAGTTCTTTAACACAAATCTCTCTCAGGGCCTTGATAACACAATAGAGTATATTTCTTCGCCCGTTCTGTTTCTCCCTAGAACCCTAATATACGTGCTGTGACAGATATAAGCATGTTCAGTATTTCTAACTCATGCTGCCCACCCCCACCCCCTGGCCCCAGCCCATTCTGGGCCCCCAGGTGACTGTAACAGGCAGTTTCCCTCCCACCTGCTGGCCCAGTGGACACAGAGTACAGGTGAGGATCATTTGTTGTTTCAAGCCAATGAGATTTAGGGTTGTGATTGATACATTACTGGGCTGCAGGGGAGAGGTGGGGATTTGTCCTGTCCTAGGAACAGCCACTCAACTAACTGTACATGTGCCGATTACACAGTTTTTAACATTTTCTTCATTATTACAAGTTTGATATTTGATATAAACACTGAAAAGTGATCTGGAATACTGCATGCACATGATGGTAGTAAAAATTTCTCTAAAATTATTTAATGTAAACTTTCCACTGGCCTCTCTTTTAATCCAAGTTATTGGCACAATATTCTATCCAGCCCACCAGCCTCCATCCCATTTCAAAACTTGGAATAAATGCAGTCCATATGGATTCAAACATTTCTGTAAACAAGACCTCAAAAGTTCCAGTGTTTTATGATTTTATGGAGTTCCTAGACTCTGTCCACCTTTCTCTATATATAGCTTCCCAATCTTTTAATAAGAAAATCTCACTTTTGCTAGATGTGGGGGAGTGGGGGAGAATACAGGTGGAGGCTGACCACTGGAGGCTGACTAGGTTAGGTGGAGATAATCAGGTTTTGAAATTGCTTAGTCCTGAAGTTACCTGGAATTTCAACATATGAGCATATAGTTGAGATGATCAGATCCAACAAGCATTCAGATTTTTAAAAGGATTCTCAGAATTTTGATCCAATGGGAAAAAAGCATGACTAGCCCCATTTTCTCCACTAAGTAGGCAAACTCAGAAAGCACAACTGGGTCATACTTACTTTTCAATTCCCCACCAAGTGCCGGCCTACAGTTATCATTCAATACATGCTAGATGACTTCTCTACACTCTCTCACACTCCTTCCACCTGGCCCCGACCCCTCCGAACTGAGGGGAGCAGGCTAAGAGAGAAGCGGAGTGGGCAGCAATGAGGGTGCTCCCGTGGCCTCTCAGGCTATAGACACACACGTCTGTCCGCTTCTGTGGCCTCAGCCCACTTTGGCTGACGGGACTCCACTGGAGAGTCAGAGATGGCCAGTCCACCTCACTCAGGGCTGCACTGCCCAGACAGGCGGCAGCTACTGGAGTGCAAGGAGCTGCTGGAGATCCAGGCTCCAGAAGTCAGGACGGGCCTGTGGCTGAGGCGGAGTTTGGCTCCACAGTGATGGAGCCATCTTAGTAAAGGCGGGCAGAGCTATGCTGTTGAGCACAGGGACTCCAGAAACAACGTCACAGGAGACAAAAACTGTAGTTTGTCTTCCTTTCACCAACAGCTACTGTGTATGGAGAGAAAAATAATGGTTGATGCAATTTGGCTACTGAGAAGAGCCCTGGTCAGAATGGACTGGGATTTGCCTCTGAATAGAAGAGTTAGCCAATACTGCAGGATCATTTGCTCAGAGGACAGAGGTCAGCCAGTGCCCAGTAAGGGGACAGGGTGGCCCCTCGGCCTGGAATGTGGTACTGAGGTCACTTTTGAGCCAGTGTGATTATCAGACAATTGCCCGCCAGAGGTCACTTCTGTTCTTACAAAGCGGATTATTACAGCCTCCAGGGTGATACACCACATACCCCAAGTCAAGGCTGCTGAGTCTTTAGACCTTAAGGAAATCCCCTAAACAGTTGTTGCTGTTTGCCACACAATTAAGCACTTGTAGCCTGCACTCCCTACTGCCCCAAATAACAAAGTTGAAGATGTAAACCATCTCTCAGTAACACTCCCTCACTGAGCGTGGAGATGAGAACATGAAAACCGTGCCACATGTCTGCCATCTGTATTTGTACTTGTCAACAGCTCTGTTTTGGGATAAACAGTTTTGAAGTAAGAATCAATTCAACTTGTTGGAAGATTAGCCAGCAAGAGCTCAGAAGACCAAAACAGAACATGAAGTCAGATAGTCTAAAATAACAAGCACAATTTTCTGTTTCTCGCTCAACATTCTGTTTTGCCACAGCCCCAGAGAAAGCACATGGCAGCCAGGGTTTGAGGACAGAGACAGAAAATGCATTTACTCAAGTGAGAAATTCCTGAACTCGAACAATGCCTCGGCCACAATGCGATTGGAAATCACTCCCTGACCTCTAGGAGACTAAGAAAAAAGCCATTTTAGCATGTACACCTTGTTTCACGGCCCTGCTGCGTGAAGGCCTACCTCGGGGACAAGCTGCGTGGGCACAGTGCATAATGCAGGCCTTTATTACCATAAAAATGATGGCGGTTCCCAAAGTCGATCTTGATTAAAAGTAGTTCCATGCTTGAAAACACGACTCCACCGGAGAGCTATTAAAATAGAAAGATGGCAAGGGGAAAATAAAGACTTATATACTGAAAGGGAGGTCAGGGAAGAATCTAGCAAAAATAGGATGCTCCAGATTGGCGGCAGATAACAATGAAATTGCTTTCAGCAGCGGCTGATGTGTGTGAATGAGGGACGGGCTCCCCTGGCGGCCCCACATATTCTACAAAACAAATGAGAACGTGTGTGCTCCACTTGGAGGGACATCCATTTTCTCCTTAAAAGAAGTCATTTATAAAAGAGCAAATTGGTGATTTGTACTTACAGACTGGGCCCTTTTCGAGCCCCTGTCAAGAAGTGATAAATTATTGAAGCATAGCAAAAAGTGTTTTATTTTTGGTGTGCCTATAGTAAAACCTTGTGAAATGTTTCTGCTCACCTTTTCCAAGTTATTAATTAAAAAATAATTGTTTCCAATTACTCTGTGATCTTTAAAATAAAACAAGACAAAATGCCACCTCTCTAGGCACCACCCAGCTCCCCGCTTTCCTGTCCTGCCCCCACGCCCTTCTGGCAGGCGGTAGTTTCCAGTGCACGGGGCTGGGGGCAGGAATGCTGCTGGAGGGGGCGGGCGGGAAGGGAAGGCCAAGGCAGAGTTCACACAATTGTCTGGTGTTCACTCAACCACAGGCCCCGAATATATTCGTTGTTCCTGGAGACAGCGTAAGCCAGAGAATAAAGCAGGGGTGTGGAAATCTCATTAATAAATTGTGAAAACCCTCTCAGCGGGAGTCAAATAACGCCGAGGGGCCGCCCTGTGTCCCGAGACGTGGCTGCTCGGTGCAGGACTCCAGCTGAAAGGCCCTCGAGGAGCAAGAGCGAGGAGTTCTTCTGTACTCAGTCTAGCCACCGGAATCTAAGCAAATCTAAAAACTTGAGGCGCTGCTTTCAGCTCAATGACAGCCAGACTGTGGTGGGGGGCAGCCCGCCCCTAATGGGTTCATAAACCTCAAGAAGTACCTCGCCACCCAGGCCCGGGAAGGGCTGCCTCACCGGGCATGTTGCTGACCGTCCCCCAACAACTAGGTGACTTGGATTCCCACCCCTTGAGGACAAGCTGCCGCCAGGTCCCTAATTCTATTTTCTACCCAGGTGATGGGATCAGAGCTGAACTGGCCTCAAGGACCCTTTGTAGCTGAAACTGTTCTACAAAGGAAGCCTTTGTAGAAATTTCACTCAAGTGTTTTGATTGCAATAGAAGAAGACAGGCCAAAAAAGGACATCCCCGAGATGGTTTAATTATCACACGCCAAGCTCCATCGGCCAAATAAACACAGCAAAGCAAGTGACACTGCTTGAAACTGAGGTTAAAAATTGTGTAGCGAGAAATAGTCTTTATTCTTCTTGCTTTCTGCACACTGACATATGACAATGCCTGAAACTTAAATATGAAAAGACACTTTACAAATCAAATCAACAATTTTATACATTTATCTTACTCACATGTCAGTCACAAATCACCAACTATTAAAAAAATAGGGTAAATCATATCACAAAAGAACCCCAAAAAATTTCATAAAAAATATATTCCTGTGTGAAAAGTATTGTGTGCTTTGTTCTCACGGCATCTTCACATTCTCCTCTTCTGTGTACTTATGTACAACACTGAAAAGAAAAAAATACATTAAGTTGAAAAAGACTGCTCTGAAGTATTATAGTAGCAAGTTTTATTTTATTTTTTTTTAAAAAAGATTTATTTACTTTTGCATACAAGAGCTGGGGTGTAGGCCAGTGGTGCGAGGGGTGAGAGGATTCACCAGTGACAGAGTGGGGAGCAGAACAGGTGGATCTACTGAAATCCACTGCTGAGGGGAGCGGCGGGTGAGACAGGAGAGGTCTGCTGTGCTCTCTGGGTTGCTCCCTGGCCAGGACTAGACTTATGCTGCAGTGGCCGCAGATAGCTTCATAGTGCTGAGACTTAACTCCTTGAGCCACCAGGCAGGCCCGATAGCAGCAAATTTTAAAAGTAGATTTTGGCCTGCCACCTCTGAAAATTTCAAAGGAATCATCGTACCGCACAATGTATTCTAGAACTACTCTTTGAGCCCAATTTTATGAATCTAGGTATGGGTTTGACGTCTTATAGGAACGTCATTCTGACATCTAGCTGTCCATCTGATGGAGTCCGCAAGTCATAACCAGGAGAATAAAATAATGTATGTAAAAGTCCCCCAAAGCTAAAAACGTTTTATAATTGTGGGGCCTCCCTGGTGGCACAAGGGTTTAAGACGCAGCCTATGAGGCTTTCCGCAGCTGCTGCAGCATGAGTTTGATCCCCGACCAGAGAGATACCCACATGGTGCAGCAGACCTCTCCTGCCACACCCGCTGCTCCCCTCAGCAGTGTATTTCGTCAGTCTGCCTGTTCTGTTCCCCAATCTGTCTCTGGTGAATCCTCTCACCCCCCTGCACCTCTGGCCTGTATCCCAGTTCTTATATGCATAAATAAATCTTTAAAAAAATCTTTTATAATTGTAATTATGCTTATAGTCCAGTTTAAGAATAAAGTACGTCATCATCTACCACCCCAATAAAAACCCTAAAACTCCTTTTAATTTTAACAGAATAAGACAAGAGATGAGAAGCAATTTTTTTGAAACAGACCAACATCCTTACTCTGAGTCCTCTGTTAAGAATCTCAGCCTTCGCTACTATCCAAAGTTCCGCCTAGCCGGCCATCGTGACCCCCCAACTGAACTCTTTGGACATGTCAGCACAGACCCAGCAGAAATCTGACAACTGGTCAAACTGTGCCAAGAGGTGGACCCTCTTACTGAGATCCTGACAGGCTCGTTCAAGGTGAGCCCAGAAAGACGTCTTTATCAAAGGACACAGTACAGGTTAATCAAGTAAATCAGAATCCTCTTTAAAGGCAAGGATGCAAATTTTGAAGTCTAAAGAAAACTGCCACTTATTATATCACAGAATGTTCCATGACGGGGAGCATCAGCACGACAGGGAGCCCTGGAATGTGGGCGAGGCCCAGCCACGTGTGAGCAATCTGCCCCGACGCCACTCAGAACCTGCCGCTGACTAGGGCGACCAGCCGCCTCGAGACAGGGCAAGAGCAGGACAACTCTCAGTAAAAGCAGAGAGTCAAGTAACAATTTGAAAAACAGAAGATTTTTCTACATTTCAGAGGGACAAAAAAAGTAAATCACAGATGTAATGTGAAGAAATAATGGTAATGACAACAGGCGACAGAATAGAGATCACAGAAGCCAGGATGTTTAACTCACAGTAAAGTCAGACAGACAAAGTTATCCAGAAATAAAGAACACACATAAATAAAAAATTCCAAACTCCAGAATCCAAACTCCAGAATCCAGACTCCATTGGAGGGATGGAACCAAACAGTGGTGATGGAGCAAGAATAAATCCCACCATTTCGATGTTTTCCTCTTCCCCAGAAAAAATTCAAGAATGACTTTATTGTATTGAAATTGTGTGGTTTTTTTTTTTTTTTTAGAAAGACACCAAAGAAAACATAGTTAGTCACAGCAATACATCAGCTAAGTTAACTTCAGAGTCATATTTCCTATTTTGTCATTTTTTGGCCAAATGAAAGGCTACAAATCTCCACAAAAAGCATATGAACGCTAAAGAGACGCAGGCCAAACAGGACAAGCTAACTGCCAAACGATGCAAACCAAAGAGGGCAGCAAACAGGGGCCGCTCCTCCAGCTCCACCTCCGGCCTGAGAGACAGTGTTGGGGGGAATATAATAAACGTATTCAAGAGAGCGGGTGAGAGGGCTGTGGGTCAGTATGCCAGTGTCTCTCAGGGCCTAGGAGGGAAGGAGAGTTTCTAACCCCCAAACCCCTGGAAGCATCTGAAAAAGAACTGATCACACCCAAGATCTGAGATGCAAGCACTTCAAAACAGACAAAGCAAAACTGAAACTGAACTTTTAAATTCTTGCGTAAACCCTGCAGGGACCCAGGGAAAGCACACATCTGGCGGAGTCCGCCAAGCCAGTGCAGGGACATTACCGTTGTTTCCTCGGATGAAGGCATCCCCGTACTTGTTCTTCAGCTGTCCGTTCACATATTCCTCCGTCTGCTCCAGGGCGATGTTCATGTACCCGTCCAGGCAGGCCAGGACCCCTGGAGACAAAGGAGAGGCGCAAAGCGCGCCAGGGTCAAAAGTTACAGTCTCTCCGCTCATCACTTCTTCCACGCGCAATGTGAAAATTCCTACTGTAAACGAAACCCAGCAGACGGAAACAAAGCCTTCGCTCCATGCCAACGCCGGCGAAGACAAGGACGCACACAGCAGCGCGTGGCCACGCACCGACCCCTAGCAGGAAAGAGACCGACTGTCGCTTCCCTTACAGGACATGTGACAACAGCAGCAACTTATAAAGAACTGACAAAAGTAACATAATTAGGATAGTGCCCGTAAAATACCATTCTCAGAAAGCTCCCACAGCAGCGGGCAGTCAGGCAGGGCAGGGGACCACTGGCTGAGGCCCTCACCCCTGGTGGCAGTTCTTAGCCACGGAGGGGTGCGCAGGGCTGGCAGATTTCTCTCTCTCTCTCTCTCTCTCTCTCTCACAACATCTATTGCAGCAGATGAATGTTCTCGAGGGTTAAGAGGAAGCTTCCACAATCTGTTAAAATAATAGACGAGGAGACAGCAGGTGCTCCTGAGAGAACATCTTGGAGCTGTGACTCACAGGGAAGAGCAGCTTGAGAATACGGGCGACACACGCGTGGTGACGGCCCCTTTCTGTTCTGTTCCAGGCAGGAGAGTTTCTAACCCAAACTAATGGAGAAAAATGGCCCAAACATTCGAGGGAGCTTTCAAGGAAACTGTTCAAGCAAATCTTTTTTAATTGTGTTGAGATAAACATTTTGCAAAATTTGACCTTTCTTTAGAAGATGAAAACACACATACGCCTCCAACTGAATCTCTAATTTAAAACGGTGTCTTCTAGGAGAAAAAAGTAATTCAGTAAAAACAATACAAGAAATTTGATTCAATTAACCAAGTCAATAGTTCATTTTAAGTCTCAGCTTCATTAATATGCTCCTCACTCCATCCTTCTGCCCCATTATCCTCCACACAAAAAAGTTTCTTTTCAAAACATGTAATGAGAGCACAAGACATTAATCCAACAGAATTCCGCGAGAAGTTGTAAACTTTCAAAGAATCAGAATGGAGTGCGAACAATTAATAACAGTCATTTCCTATCAAAAGAAAAGTCTGACAGACTTTACAGTTTGTTTATTGCTGCATTATTTTACTTCAAATATACTTCAAATATAAACGAGTAAGGAACTTTGGAGACGTGGCACGCAAATCTGCTCGAAAATCACTCGAAACCATTTCCAAATGCAATGCCCATTTCTAATCAAGATGGAATTGTAGCTCTTCTCTTCCCCAAAGGGTAAATGACTATAAATAATGGTAAATAAGACATTTTCTTCAACGGCCCAGAGAAACTGCTACAGAGAGTTGGTGTGTGAATTATCCATCCACAAACTAAGAGCATTCTTTATAATCAGGCTCTCCACAGTGTGCAAGATTCTGCTTTGATAGTTACAGAGGCCATGAACAGACATCCATACACACAGAGAAGTTACAGCCACTACCCATGTGAAAGGCTGTTCAATCGCCCTCGTAAACAAAAGTGTCAGGAAAATGAGATAATACTTGTTGCCAATTAGGATGGGAAAAGTAAAAGCAAAGGCTAAAACCGGGGCTGATGAGAACGCACAGAATGAAGCCATGTGCCCAGTGGATGGCCAGTTGACCTGCTCTGGGGCTCAGAAATCCCAGTCCAGGGAATTTAAGAACTATTAGGACAAGTGCTCAAGTGTCAGAGCTGCTTACAATGGCAAGAACCCAGCAAACACCTTAAATGTCCATTAATGGGAAACTGATTAAAAACAAAACCAAAATTTTGATCCCCCACACGTGCTCCTATGCGGCCACGGTATTGCAGGGAACTGAAGGCAAGTGTTAAATATTTTGAAAGGGTGCATGCAGAGCTGATCTGATCCCATTTATATAAAATCACACTTATATGGAGACAGGTCCAAATTAATAAGGCAGATTGTCTCTGGATGGGAAAATTTGAGAGGACTTTGTTTTCTTCCTTATACTTTTTTTCATTATTTGTTTTGAAATTTCTAAAAAGAAAAACACATATATTACAGAAAAAAGGTCAGACTAGCTGATCTCTTCAGTCAAGTGGGTTCGGAGAAAATATAGAAAATAATATCCCCACCCAAATCAATTGTCAAGTATGCTCAAAATGTCTAGCCTAGAAGGCTACCTTCTTTGGCTCATTGGTTCTTCCAGGCAAGAAGCAGCATAGAGACTTTAGAATACCTCAATATTCTGTATGAATCTGCCTGTTCCATGATAAAAATGAAATGACTGCTGAGAAAACTAAAGCAGCACAGTAAAGACAGGCTTCTTAACAAGACTTCTGAGTCACACTTGAGTTTGAGTCCCAGCTCCTCCCTTACTCCCAGCAGAGCTCTCAAAGGGGCTGTGAGCTGAAAAAGTAAAAGTCCAAGTGATTAGCACACTCTGGACACAGAGCAAGCTCCCGAAGCGCTAAGTTTACAAGTGGGGAAAGAGGAAAACGCTCAAGAGGTCATGATGATTACACAGAAAAGACAGCAGGAAAGGCTACAAAGCACTGTTGGCGAGCCTGTGCCTGCGAAATCTTACTCCTGCTGTAACACATTAATTTTGGAAAACTGGGAGTTGGTAACTTTTATTTTTTTATTTTTTTTTTTTATTATTATTTTTTTTTAATAGAGGCATGCTTATTTATTTATTTGTTTGTTTTTTGTTTTTGTTTATACAAGCACTGGGTACAGTCAGAAGCGCGGGAGGGTGAGAGAATTCACCAGGGCCAGAGCGGGGAGCAGAGCAGGCAGAGGGACAGAAGTACACTGCTGAGGGGAGCAGCGGGCGGCAGGAGAGGTCTGCGCGCCATGTGGGACCCTCCTCCGGTGGCCGGGGAGCAGCCGGGGATCGAACCGGCGCCGCAGACGCCCCGGGCAGCTTCGCAACCCAGCGCTCAACCGCTGCGCCACCGGGGAGGCCCGGAGTTGGTAACTTTTAAAAATGGAATCTGATACCATACCTCTCACTACGTTCGTTTCAGGGGCGTCACAGTCTCTTAAAGAGCATCCTCCACAGAACAGAAAGGGGCCCGGGTACCCCACATATTATGTGAACGGGCAGTTCCAGGGCCTTGCCCATCTCGACTACTGCAAGAGCCAGTGCTGCTGGGCTGAGGTGGTGGCTGTATCCACTTATTACCAGGTATCTATGGATCCCAGCCCAGGGCCTGGGAACTCGGGCACATGCCATCTCAGAGATGGGAGCCACACGGTTCTCACCGGAAGTCAGGGGCGCACAGGCTGTGGTCAGAGCTGTCTCTGAAAGGAATCAGCTCAAAGGGAGAAAAAGAAATGTGCATAAAAACTATCGACAACCAATGCATGTCGGTCTACTGCGTATGTTTAAGGGGTTAATAAAAACAAGTGAGTTCACATTCACTTATTTAGTTAGCACTGAGGAGGAAACATGAAAATATTACCTCGATAATCCACTCCAGAATTTAATTTTACCACGACTGGTCGGCCGATGATTTGCTTTAAGAAGTCACTGGGGGTTTGCTTCCGCAGACTCATTTTACCTGTCCTGATCAGGAATCTAAAAAGGAGCAATAAAAGGTAAAGACAAAAGTTAACTGTTCAACAGAAAAGCCTTGGAGTCCTTAATATATTTATAGGAAGTCAAGTATCAAAAGACCCACGTATGAAGCTTCAATATTACTCCATCATTATTACAACAACTTGACAGTAGCTTATTCTCAGTACTTACTCAGGCAGACACCAAGCGATGAGTTTTACACACCTCCTCTTCTCTCAGTCCCACAACCACCCCCAGCAGAGCTACCTCACAGCAGAGGCCTGTGTTTCTAGAGTCCTGTTTCACCCCCTTGTCATGCCCGCCTTGCATGTAAGGGGTGCGCCGGGTACAGCCCCATCCACCTCCACTGTTTACTGAAGGCCTATTTTCCACCAAGCACTGCTAAAATCCTTATCAACACTATCAAATTTAATCTATGCAAGAACCCGGGAAAGAAGGTTTTAATGTCCCCATTTTGCTGATAAAAATAAAGGCACAGAAAGAGTACATAATTTACCCCAGAATGTGGTAGAACATTCAGAGTAGACACATTTTACAAACATCTGCTCTAAAAGGTACCTCTGAAGATAATCGTAACTAAGAGCTAATATTTGAGTGCACTTAGCTAAGCACTCCACACATGCCAATCCGTTTAAACCTTGCTACCCAATGAGACAGGTATTGTTTTCACCCTCATTTTACAGATGAATAAATCAGACACTGAAAGGGTCAAACACCCGGCTCAAGTGACAGAGCGACTGTGGTGGTCAGCCACGCTCACAACCGCAACCTCACACACAACCTTCGTCTGAACGCCGACAACCAGGCAGCCAAAGATAAATATTTAACTCTATTGCAATTTTAGTAGATATACACTCTAAGTAAGAAAAAGTCTTCAAATTCAAGTATAATAGGAGTCTAACACAGAGAGGTAGCATTAAACACCCAGATCTATCGAATCAGACCTGTTGATGCCGTCAATCTTTTTCACCCTATTATGTAAGTTGTCTCTCTCAAGCTATCTTGGCAAACAAAAATCACAGAATGGTAGTTACTCAAGCAAAAACTGACAGTAAAAAGACTTTGGAAATGAAGTTTTCTGTTTCAGTCGAATGCAGTATTGCTACTATGTAGCAGTCATAAAGCATTGTCACTTAAAAATTAGCATGGACTCTCCTGTTTGCCTGTGACTATGCAGGTGCGGTTCTTTTCCTTTCTCTTTTTCCTAAAACGTAAAAAAAAAATTAGGATGGATACAAGATTTTAAGGACTTTTGTCAAGAACTTGAGTGTTTGGTTCCCAATTAAAATGTTCATTAAAATAAGTAACACTGCCTATTGTACCCCAGTGAGGTCAGCCAGTGCTCTGAATTCAGGCTGGGGTCATTGTTTGGAGACTCTCAAGAGTGGATCAACCTGCACTCAGCAGTTTGACGAAGATAGATGCAGGGTTATTGGTTTTCCATTTGTTCAACAAATATGTGTGTGTACACACCGTGCAAGTAAATTCAGAACCATGTCACACACAGAGTCTGACCCTGAAGAGCTTGGAGAATCCGGAAGAATTTAAACTCATGTTTAAAGGGTACGAGTAAACAAAAGCGATCATAACTTAAGTGAAAAATTTTCTTTAACCAAGAAAAGTCAACTTCCTAAGTTAAATAAAAGTAAATACAAATTTTAAAAACTCTTCTTGAATTTGGGGCTGTTATTTGAACCATTCAAACCTCCCAACTCTCCCTAGCGTAGAAAGACTTTTAATGAGATCAACTGTTTTGCTCAGCAAATTTTAATTTAACTTTTCCAGTGAACTGAGAGCTTATTTTTTTAGCTCTACAGTCTCAACAGATAACAGAAATTACAACTACTACTCAGAATAACACTACTCATTCAAGGCTCAGACCACACAGCAATTTTATTTATGCTATTTTGAGCCCAAGGGGAAAAAATTACAAAGTAAATACTGTGACAGATTCAGCACCTTTAATGAGTTTAATAAAAACAAACAAATCTTCCCATTCATCTATAAACTGCTTTATTTATGTCTTGAACATGTGCTGTTTTGTGGTTAAACAGGCCTCCAGAGACTATTAACTCCAAAGGCCTGATAGAGACTTGATTTTTGAGTCTTAGGCTGATGATATCCTTAGGTTGAAGTGCCCTCATGCCAGCCTCCAGTACAAAATTCTGTAAGACTAGCCATTTTGTGTTTAGAAAAAACAAACCTAAGATGCACGGTGGTGTGAAAATCTGGTTCTCATGGGTATTAACTATCTTGTCCGAAGTCAAATTAATGATAGTCAGAAGAAAGTATACAGACCCAGACAATCGGCTGTTGGACTGACAGTTATTTTAAAGGTTCTACTTACACTTTCCCCACTTTAAAAAAAAAAGCAGCTCTAGGCTTCTAAGTTCATCAAAGATCACAAGTCCTCATTAAGCCTCATCTTTCTTCCAGGAAAGAATGTTCATCTCTTCCTGAAGGTGCTGAACACTCCAGACTGTCCCACAGGGGGAGGTGACACCAGTGAGGCAAAGCCTCGAGTCCTCAGAGCTCAAGCTCCAAAGGGGCCAAAATCACGTCAAAGGAAAATTCCTTGAAAGTTGTATGCCTCTGGAGAGAACTATGAAAGAGCAGCACGCCCTCACCTAACCGGGGCTGGCAGGGCCAACGACGGTTTCTGGAGGGGGCCCTGGCAGAAGCGTAGGTGTGAGGGGGTGCTCCGCAGGCAAGGGCCAGGAGCCACAGCTGGAGCAGGTGGGGCAGCAAGCAAGACTCACAGAACTTGGACTTGAGCCTCTAGGGCAGGTCCCCAAACATGGGTCACTCGGAGACAGATTCAGTAGCTCCGGGCTGGGGGCCAGGAATCTGCTTGCACAAGCCTAGGAGATTCTTACAGACTGGTAAGTCTGGGACAGAATGTGTCAGGGGCCGGGGGAAGGTTTAAGCTGGGATTTACTGGGGTTCCCATTTGAGGTGGAAGAGCAGAGGGGGCACCTCACTGGGCTCTGGCATCCTGAAGCATCAAGCTTCTTTTCTCCCTCACGACCATGAAGGGAGGCACTGACGCTAGCATTCTCATTTACTCTCTTAGAAGATCTACAGTCTGTTAAATCTTTTGGATTTGGGAAGGGGTGGCTGCTCCCAACCCATCTTGTCCATCACCTTAGAGACCGAATCCTTCCTGTTGGTCTTCATCAGGCTCTCTGGTTCTTCCTGTTACTTAATAACTTGCCCGTAGTCCATTTTCTTGAGTAAACTGCTCTACACAACCCAATTTTCCCCATCACTTGGCTCACACAATTTTGAGTCTTCATCTTTTAAACTGGATAAAGCAAAAGGAACAGTTCGACCATTTCTGAAGCAAGAGAAAAGCCTCTTGAACCATAAACACATTTAAGAGGAAAGAAGTTTCCTTACCACAGGATCACCTTGATGAAACTTCTCTTCAAAATTAAAGCCACAATCATCTGTTCTATCCCTAACTGCTACTCAGGCTTGGATTAAATGACCCATTTTCATAAATGGCTATTTAGTCAAAGGCAGTATATCTTCTGTCAGAAGCTACTGAAAGCACTAGTGAGAGACCATCTATGGACGGTCTTGCAGAGATTTTTTAGTAAAAGAATGGGGGGAAACCCAAATTTTATCTATTCAACAATGTGCAGGGCCCTGCTGATTCATGAGCAATTCACACAGTAATTCCCTGGCTCGCTGAGCAGAACTTGACCCCAAAGCGCAAGACCTGTCAAAGGCCCAGCTGCTCTTCTGAATATGCCAAGCTTCTCCTGTTCAAGTTGGGAACAGCCACAGACCACGAAATACCCGGCCAGTGGGCAGCAGCACTGGAGGGCACACCTGGGGTGTAAATCCCTGTGAACAAGCCTGTGAAGAAACACGGCGCTCACACGAGAAGCTGTCTAATGGGACTCTGCTGTGCCACTGAGCAAAAGACCTCAAATCTTGTTTCTGTAAAAGCAGGTTTTTTCAGTTTTATAGTTTTTACAGTTTTTCCCCCTAAACTATCAAGAGTACTTATGATTTAGAGTGAAAAAAATTTAAAAAGCAAAAAACTGCTATGAAATGTACATTACAACCACGTGCGGCTCTGGACAGTCAGTGTTGAGGCAGCAGCCAAGTCTCTCCCTCTCCCGCTGAGCAGTGGGCTAGCTGGTCTGCTTCCCAAGGCTGCCAGTCCCTCACCCTCCCGCTGCAGGGGCTACTTTCCTCCCAGCTCTCCTGCAGGGCACCCCTGCTCCCCCAACCAGTCAGGCTGGTGTCTAGTTTTCTGTTTGTTGTCAGTGATCCTCAGGGACAGGGGATCGCTGCATCCCTTCACTGTCCCTGGCCCGAGCACACTGTCCAAACCTATGGAGACCCCTCGGTGGGCAGTGCCAGGGAAAACCACTGTCCCTTGCCCTCCCCCAGACAATGGACACAGTGGCAAGCACAGTATAATCCCAGCACTTCAGCAGCTACGTCCGCTACCTCCATTACTGTCACCAGATGGAAGAGAGATGCAGAAGAGAAAGCACGGGTGTCCAAGCGGCTGCATCTGAACCAAGAGATGCTTGTTACAAATGCAGACTCCTGAATCCTAAGCAGACTCTCTAGCCAAGGATACTGTGATTTAAATTTTATAAAGTCCTCCAAATAATTCCACCACCTTGAGGACATCCGGAAATGTCTGGAGACATTCTGTGTATCTTGACTGAGGGTGGTGCCACTGGTCTCTGGCAGGCAGAGGCCAGGGATGTTGCTTAACATTTTACAAAGCAAGGACAGCTCACCACAACTAAGGTGCAAATGTCAACTGAGGGTGAGAAACTCTCCTTATAAGCCCCAAATCAAAAAACCAATGTTCTCTGGTCTCAAAGCAACAAGAAGTTTTAAAAAGTCTTCGAGGGTACAACAAATGAGAACTTAACAGCGGAATTCTAACCAGATGGTTGGCTATAAATGATAACTTATTAGATATTTAATAAACAACTGTCACAAAATCTTGAAGGAATTGTCCTTCTAAATAACAAATTCTAATGCCGGCTGAAAATGAAAATGGTCACTTCCTCATTTTTCTGTAGAACCCTCAGGGGATGAAAATCCCAATTACTTGGTACAAATCTAAAAGGATAGAATAATCCAAGGGATGTAAACTTTTTAAGTTGCAGAATGGAGTACCTCACAGTTGAGGTAAGAGACCGCCCCATGCCTCACGTGGGAGGCAGTAACCTGAGTTCTAATCCCAGCTCTGCTCCTTAATTATCCATGTGCCTTGGGGACCTCCTCATTTCAGCTCTTAAGGTCCCAGGTTCCTCATCTGCAAATTAGCGGGTTATGTGGAGATGACCTCATCAACTCCCTTTAATTTTCAGTCAGCCGCGGGAGGTCCAACACACACACGCACGCGCACACACACTCCTCTGCAGAGTCCATCTCCAAATTCAAGCAAATGGAATTGCCAGAACATATCATAGAAATAAAAAAAATTTACCATAAGAAAGGCTCAGGCCTACTTACTGATGTCTAGACATGTATTATGAGCCATAGTTTTGGTGAAACAGGAAAGTCATCCAACTACAACTTTTTTGCAAAACTATTTGGCAAGGCGTATGAAGCCCGAAAAGGACCGTCCCAGATCACAGCATTTATTCTCATCATTTCACTTCTTGGAGTCCAATTCAAGTAAATAATCTGAAATACAGCTTTTTAAGAAAAAGGTTTATCAAAGCATTACCTGGGATGCCAAAACGAAGCAAAAACTCATCAACACCCTAAATGTCTCAAGGTTGGGGAGATGGTTGACCAGCTTATAGAATCAGCACAACCACAGGCAGCCAATCACTACAAGATACAACGGCAAGAAAAGACATAAATGACACAGAAACATTAATTCCAAAGGGCACCTGCACCCCCATGTTTATAGCAGCACTGTTTACAATAGCTGAGCTAAGGAAACAACCCAAATGCCGGAAAATAGATGACTGGATCAAGAAAATGTGGTGCATATACACCATGGAATATTACTCAGCAATCAAAAAAGATGAACTCATGCAATTTGCAGCAACATGGATGGCGCTGGAAGGGATCATGCTCAGCGAAAGAAGCCAGAAAGAAAAAGGAAAAAAAAAAAAATACCGGATGGTCTCACTCATAGCAGGAGTTTAGAAAATCCAAATAAGAGACCAGGAAAAACACTAATTATAATAAAGAAAAAAAATCAACCAGCAACTATAAACCAGAGACACACTGGGGAGTGGGGGGGTGGAGGGATTAGGGTCAAAATAAGGGGGGTGCAACTGTATGGGGAATACAACCAAGATGAAAATGCATACATCGTGCAAAAATGAAAAATGATGTAGGAATTCTATGAAATAAAATATTTTAAAAAGTCATTAGGAAGAATTTTTAAGTGAGAGAGAGAAACTAAACGCACTGCTGAGTGATGACCCGGCCCCGGGGGGAACCAGCAGGGTCCAGGGTCACCCACAGCAGCGCGCGGGGCGCAGGGCCCGGGGCACCTCCTCTTCGCCAGCCCACCCTGCACCTCACCCCACCTACCGCAGCTCAGCGAGCGGGGGCCACACTGCCCCGCCACAGAGCTCATCTGCAACACCCCGATTCCAGACACCCTAAACAAAGGGCCCCGCTCGGGGCGCCCCCACACCGCCAACGCGGGCACCCCCAACCCAACCGCTGTCAGCCGGGCTGCCCAGCTCTAGCTTCCTGGGGGGCAGGCGCGCCCCCCACGTCATGAAAGCCCAGCAATCCCCGCAGCTGTAGAACCGGGGAAGTCTGGCCCGTATTCGGGGGCCGCTTCCCGGCCGCACCCCCGGGCTAAAGTTGGGGTGCCCCGCAGAACCCCGACAACCAGAAGCGGCCTCGAAAGTCCACGGGGGGTGCCCAGGCCGGCGCCGTTCCCCACCGCGCGGCCAGGGCGCCCCTCGGGGATGGTTCCAGGGGCGCGCCCCCTAATCCGGGGCCCAGGGGGACCCCAGGGCTCAGCGCCCCGAGAGCGCGCGCGGCTCGGCGGGGACCCGCCACCCACCCGCGCCGCCTCCGCGCTCCCCCGGGGCCTGCGCGCGGCCGCCCCACACCCCACACCCCGCCCGCGGGGGCCCCGCCTCACCTCGCCCGGGGCTCCAGGTCCCCCGCCGCCGGCGCCCCGCGAACGCGGCCTCCGCGACACCCGGGAAACCGAAACCGAAAGCGCCGGGGCGGGGCCTCCCGTCCCAGCCAATCCCCGCCGACCTGGCTACGGCGGCCGCGGGGGCCAAAATTGCGCGGCCTCGCCGGAACGCGCCCGCCTGGCTGCAGGATTGCCTGGAGGCGATGTGGGTGCAGGGAGCGGGGTGGTGAGGGGGTTTAAAGTGCAAAGCGCCGGAGTTCTGGCTTTTAACGGAAACTGAACAGTCCCCCCACTCCCACCCAGCCCCAAACCTGGACGTTACGCGGGATTTCTTTCGGTCAGAAGTGGAAGACACAGCTTGAAGCCAAGGAAACTGGAATTCACGGCTGCAGGAAACCCTGTGCGGACCCTGGCCGGCCCTTGAATAATTTAATGCAAATAAATGAATAAAGTGAGCAGGCTCAAATCCTCAAACCCACCTTTGGATTTTGATTAAAAACGTGAAGGCGAAGTCGTTGTTCGCAAGAGTGTTTCCATGGCAACGTTAATTGACACAAAAAGAATTAAAATCATCACTAAAGTAACTTGGTATTATGAAATTGCATAAATTGCGTTGCGTTGCAAACTCGAACCAACTAGTTCTAATTGGAAATGGTTGCAGACATTATTGTAAGTGCTGCTATGGGAACTTGCTTTGGAATTTTGCACGAATTCTCAATATTCTGGCTATTAATGGAAAGGGAGAGGAAAAAGAAGCAAACTGGCATATCAAGACTTGATTCCTTCTTCTCCCTGCACACATACTTTCCTCAATTTAAAACTTATTGTTTTATTCTATTTGTGATATTTAATTCAGTAAATAAAGCGATAGATAGTATCTCTCAAGGGATCCTCAACCCTGTTAAGTATTACAGAATCTAAAATTCACAGAATCCTTAAACAAAAAAGTTACCACCCTTTTAAAAAATATATGTATTATTATTTTTTAATGAAGTGCCATTGTTTTATCTCCTCATTAATTTTTTGACAGTATTTCCCCCCCCCAGATGTGGTCACCTAGCTCTCCCAGCACCAAACCTCTCCACCAGTGTCCTGCATTGTGTCCTCCCCCTGTAACCTCTCATCTCTCTAAACCTCACTTAAAGAAAGAACAGTGGATTGGAATGGTGGAAAGAACAACTGGGTGTGATTTGGTAGAAAAGAGAGCCCTCCTCACAACCTTCCGTAAAAACTCATGTTGGTTAAAAACAAAAAAAGCATTATAGAGTTATTGAAAAGACTGTACTTGAAGTTTTTGCAGTGTAAAATACGATGTAAACAAGAAAAATTTAAGCAAGCATCATTTAAACAAAATAATTAGCTGCAAAGAGCAAATATAATGAGTTACAAAACCTGGTCCCTAAAAACCTTCTTCATAAAATACATCAAATTGTACCACATTCCTCATTCGTTGATTCAATGATTTTAAACAATTACTTATATTAGTTTTTACTCATAGCCTCTTCCCTGTACCTCAGAGTCCTGATGGTGTGGCAGCCAGAGGGCACTGAGGAATGTTAAGGGCTTGGTTTGTCTGCCCGGCAGTTGCGATTATTTTCTAAGAAGCATACATCTCTGCAAGGGCCCACCAAGACAAATGGTGTAGGCACCGTGAATTACTTCATAAGCCAACAATTTTATCAAAATGTGGTTGTGCCCTGAACTGCCTCAGCAGCTTAAAATTAACTTGTACCAACTCACAAAGCAATTTTCTATTTCACAGGGTTTTTTAAAAGCATCTTTTGTTGTAGAGATAAAACATGTGCAAGACTTTCCAAACACTAGTCCCCCAAGAACTAGTCTTCAAAACTCTGAACACAAACAATAATTTATTAATTTATTAAAGAAGCCCTAAAGTCATAAAAATAATTAGACAGAATTTAATTGAACATACACACATTGGCTTAGTTTTTCCCTCAATGAAACCACATGAACATATCCTTATCACCCAGTGTCCACAGTTTGTGTTAGGGTTCACCCTGGGTGCTATACATTCTACGGATTTTAGCAGACATAATGACAGGATCCACCATTACAGTGTCATACAGAGTATTTCCACTGCCGTAAAAATCTTCTGTGCTCTGCCTACTCATTCTTCTCTCTCCACTAACCCTTGACAATCACTGCTCTTTTTACTGTCTCCATCATTTTGCTTTTCCAGAATATCATAAAGTTGGAATCATACAGTGTAGAGCCTTTTCAAATTGGCTTATTTCACTTAGTAATGTGCAATTAAGTTCCTTCCATGGCTTCATAACTCATTTCTTTTTAGCATGGATGATGTTCCATTGTCAGGATATTCCACAATTTTGTTTACTAAAGGACTTCTTGGTTGCTTCCAATTTAGGGCAATTATGAACAAAACTGCTATAAACATCTGTGTGTAGATTTTTGTGTGGACATATTTTTTACCTCACTTAGTTAAATACCAAGGAGTGCAGTTGCTGAATTATATGATGAGAATATATTTAGTTTTACAAGAATTTTCAAGCTTCCAAAATGACTACATCATCCTGCATCTCCTCCAGCAGGGTCTGTCACTGCACATCCTCACCAGTATTTGGTGTTTCCAGTATTTTGAATTTTGGCTATTCTAATAGGTGTGTAATGGAATCACATCACTGTTTTAATTTGCAATTCTCTGGTGACATATGATGTGGAGCATGTTTTCATATACTTATTTGTTATCCATCTGTCTTCTTCAGTGAGGGTTTTTTCTGATCTTTTGCTCATTTTTAAATCAGATTGCTCAGGTTTTCTGATTGTTGAGTCTTAAGGATCCTTTGTATATTTTGGATAATAGTCCTTTATCAGGTATGCATATTTTTCCTTCCTGTCAGTGGCTTATCTCCTCATACTTTTGAACCTGACTCTTAAAACAGGCAAATGCTGGCATAAGAATACTAATGTGCGGGGTAAGAGGGTGGGAGGGTGGAGGGATGGGGGTTGGGGGAACCTCCCTGGTGGTGCAAGGAGTTAAGCCGCACTATGAAGCAATCTGCATCCTCCATAGCACGAGTTCCATCCCCGGCTCAGCAGGGAGCAAGCCACATGGCACAGCAGACCTCTCCTGTCTTGCCTGCTGCTCCCCTCAGCAGTGTATTTCAGTGGATCTGCCTGTTCTGTTCCCCACTCTGTCTCTGGTGAATCCTCTCACCCTTGCTTCTCTGGACTGTACCCCAGCTCTTGTATGCATAAATAAATAAATCTTTAAAAAAAAAAGGATACTAATGTGAACTCTTGCATTTCATGATTTGCTCCAAACGTTTTCAGTTCTTTGTACCTATATCTTTTAAAAACTATGTCCTTCAGTAGTTCCTGTTCCTAAGAGAAGGTATCATGTCCAGCTTCTTTTATAAAATACCCAACAACCCTCTGAACACGTGGGTGACTGTATTATGTTGATGCTGCTGGTGGATGCAAGCATGGACCTGGACAGGCCAATAGTGTCCAAAGCAGAGGTGGGGGGGAGAGAATTCAACAGAGACAAAGTGGGGAGCAGAACAGGCGGGCTGACTGAAATACACTGCTGAAGGGAGCAGCCAGGAAGACAAGAGAGGTCTACTGTGCCATGTGGGTCAGCTCCTTGGCTGGGGTTCTAACTCATGCTGCAATAGTTGCCGATAGTTTCATAATGCTGACACTTAACCCCTTGTGCCACCAGTGAGGCCCCCAA